CTGAATAGAGTTATTAACTATTTGTAATACGTCTGTTGCTAGGCAGTCAAAAACATTCTTAAAGAAGTTGGTAGGTAGAGCATCAAGACAGCAGGTGGATGGTTTTAAATTTGTCACCGTTTCCACTAGAGTTTGAGAGTCTATGGCATTAAAGCTTGTCATCATTGCTGTGTTACTTTTCCTAAATAGGGTGGTGATCCAACATTTTTGTTTGAGATATTAATGGCGCGTCTGATGCCTTCAATTTTATCAGTATAAAAGAACGCAAACTCGTTGCATTTCTGTGTGGAATGGAGTTCAGGTGGTATTTGTGTTGGGGGGTTGGTCAGTCTGTCAACAGTTTCAAATAGGGTTTTTGCCTTATTAGTGTTGTTGTTAATGATGTTGGAGAAGAATGTTTCCCTAGCACTTTTTAAGTCTAAATTGTAGGCCCGGAGGCGCTCTTTATAGATGTCATGGTGGATATGAAGTTTTGTATTCCGCCAGATTCGTTCAGCCTTCCTGCACTCTCTTCTCTGGGCTGTTACAACAGCAGCTTTTCTCCAGGGTGCCTTTTGCTTACTAGAACTGGTTTTAACCGTAACAGGTGCAATGTCATCTATAACATTCAAAATTTTGGAATTAAAGTTGTTTACAAGATTATCAGCATGACATGGGATTAGAGGTGGTAACGAGGAGATGACATTTTTAAAGAGTACATTAGTATGTTCATTGATGTACCGTTTTTTGACAGTATTCGAATCTGATTGTGTGTCAGGAATGAAAGAAATATTAAAGAAAACACAGAAGTGGTCAGACAATGAGGGATCAGTCACAAAAACATCCGAAACAATGAGACCTTTTGTGATAATCAGGTCCAGGGTGTGTCCCTTACAATGAGTAGCCTCTTTCACATGTTGAGACAGTTCAAATGTGTCTAAAATAGTCAAAAGTTCTTTTGCACCCTTGTCATTCAAATCGTCAGTATGAAAATTAAAGTCACCAGTTATAACTAGACAGTAAAAGTCGGTAGAAATGCTAGACAATAATTCAGTAAAATCCTCAAAAAAATGTGCAGAATATTTAGGTGGCCTGTAAATAATTAACAGGAGAACTCTGGGAGAACCTTTCAATACAACACAAAGATATTCGAATGATAAAAAATCACTGAGTGACATTTGTTTCCCCTGAAATATATTTTTAAATATAGCAGCAACCCCAAGTTATAGTTGGAGGGTGCTGCCTCAATCAGAATGCTTGCACTGTTATTTTGTTCTAGCCATGTTTCAGTTAAAAACATAAAATCAAGTTTAGAAGTGGTAATAAAATCATTGACTAAAAACGATTTGTTATTAAGATACCTAACATTAAGCAGAGCCATCCTGATGGTGTTATTCACAGGCTTTGGGGTTGACTTTGAGCTGGAGAGAATAGGAATGAGATTTGTTAGATTAGCAGTGTGTCTAAGTTTCGCAATGTTCACTCTCTTGGTGGTCACAACGGGAATGCAGAAGGTGCCATGTTTTGACGTAGGCGACCTTGGGTCCAGCTGATAATGCGGTCTACTGCTGAACCCTTTTCTATCTCAGTAATATTCAGGGCTTCTGTCAGGAGGAGGAGGGGGTGGGCCTAAGGGGGGGGAGTGAGCAGCGTCACAGCTGGGATGAATTTGTAGAGGTGGAGCACGTCTTCTTAGAGGTGGGGGGGGCAGATCGGCGTAAGATGGCGTCACCGCTGAGATGAGCTGGTGCAGGTGGACGCTGGGGGGGAGGGCGCTGAGGTCGATCTAAGGGAGTAAAAAAAGGAGTAGGGCGGGGGGTAAGTGGGGGTAACTCTTGGAACTCCAAGGGGGAGGAGAGGGGAGAAAGGTTTACTGAAGGGAGGGAGAAAGAGGGAGACGTGGACCTGGATGGGGGCTCTGGGGGGGTGGGAGAGGGATCCTCACACGTAATGGAAGGAGGGTTAGAGGGGGATGGCAATGGTGGTCCTCCTTCGACGTTTCTGATAAGCTGTGTTTTCTCTTCCTTTCTTGTGGGCTCCTCTTCTTGTCTCGTGTCCTTGGCAGTGGGGACAGATGGATGACGCATGATGTAAAACATGTTGGTAATGAAAAGCTTTGCTCCCATCTTATTTAGGCAAAGTCCATTTGTCTTAAAAAGATGCCTGCGGTCCCAGAAAAAGCTAAAATTGTTGATAGAATGCATTGAACGAACTGCACATGCAGTTAAGAGCCATTTGTTGAGCCAAAACAGTCTACTGAATCTCTCAGCTCCTCTCCCGGTCGGGGGCAGAGGACCACTGATAAACACCTCAGCATTCAGAGCTGACTGTTTCTAGGAGATTATCGAAGTGCTCTTTCAACTTTTCTGATTGTTGTTTTTCAATGTCATTAGAGCCGATGTGCAGAATTAAATTTTTCACAGTTGGGTGTTCAGCCACAATTTCCAAAATTCTTTCTTCCAAGTGTGGTGGAATATTTTGCACAGACAATCGTTAAGTAAGAAACAAAGGCTCTGAGTCAAGTATGTCTTTTCTCCGTTTATTTCCTTGCAAGGGAAAAAGGGTCACAACAGCTACGTGGTCAGTGGACTGTCAAGAACCTCCTTTTTCTTCCCAACACATCGAGGCAGTTCTTATACCTAAGTTTAGATATTGGTGGCGTCAAAAGAAACCTTTGACCATCTTGTTGAGTATCTACAGCCAGGGTACTGGGAACATCTTATCCATGTAAGACACGTCAGCTCTTTGACCGTGTCCTTGCTCTCCCAACATGCTAAAACAAAGGTGGTCATAGACATAACAAACACTTTGTTCAATCTCTACAGCTATGACGCTGGAAACATCTAATCCAAGTGGGGACATCAGTTCTTATGTCAGGGCCTTTGTGACCTAAGCACTTGCAACTAATAAACTGGTTATACAAATGAAGCATTTAAAAGGGTCACATATCATCAGACACCATATCCTTCGGGAAGCAGAGTACTTTGGTGTCGTTACTACTTTTCATATCTTTTACAGAAAAATCACCCACAATCAGATTTTCAGGCCCTGTCGTTAGCTTTCTCAGTGGCTTTAAGTTAGCAGGTCTTACCCTGCTGCGTGGTAGTGGAGGGTTATCCAGAAATTTAGAGGGGGATCCATGGTCCTGCAACAGTGGAGCAAACCTGTTTTGTAGTTTTACACCTGTTTGTTGGGGAGGTTTCTTGGTAGTTCCTCTTCTCAGTTGTCCGCTGCTTTGTTCTACGAAGCACGGGGGTTGAGGAGGCGTTATGCCTGGATGGTAACGCAGGCCAGTCGGCCAGATCACAGATATCGGGCCGCTGGTTCCTGCCAGTTATCCGTTCTCCCTTGTCTGGTCTTCTCTTTGGCTTTGCACCAAGTGTGGTCCAGGGAGGATTGTCGCTGGTAGATTTATTATCCTGTACAGAGTCCTCCAGTTTCTTCATAGTTCCATCATTGCTAGTTAGCTGGGTTCTAGCATGCTCTTGTCCACTGTTTTGAGTCATTGCTAGAGTGGTGTTGTTCCCACATGGTCCATTTACTTCTACATTTACCTCTAACCGATTAACTTTTGTTTCCAGCAGTCAAATCTTCTATACGAGTTTGTGGTAATCTTCCGTAGAGAAGGGAGGCATCTTCTGCTAATTACCTTTAGCACCGTAGCACAGGCTCAGGATTATCTTGTTTGGTAGGCCTCCTCGCGTAGCGTTGAGGAAGTCGTAAAAATATTGAAAAATGCCTGTTTTATCTAAAAGAAAATATAATCCCACTGGTTTTGTAAGTATCCAGGAGCTCCTGCTCTTTGTTTCGTTAAGCGATTGCCGTTGCCAGAGGTGAAAGTGGACAAAATGAGCGGAGCTGCTCCTCGGTGCGACTGGTCTCGGTGCGAGAGAGAGTCAACCATCATTAGAGTCATCAGAGAAGACCAGCCCCATGATGCCATAAGGTTTATTAAATTAATGTGTCCTGTGTCAATTTATACTGTACATATGACATCTGTGATGAAATGTTAAATCCTGGGAGAAGATGTTTCAATCTCTCCGACAGATTTCTTCCTCGTTTTATTCCCAAAAAAGGGTTTTTCAAGGGAGTTTTTGTTGTGTGCCAGGTACAAGTTAACAAGGTGTGTCCAGATGCACATCTTATGATTAGAATGTGTAAGATCAAGCTTATCATATTGGATCGAACGTTATACTAAACAAATTATAGACAACACATCTGACAAAACTGAGGAATTTGATGAACCGATCCCTCTGATTAGTTTTTTACACCAGAATTGGTGTAAAGGGATGGATTGTAGGATATTAGAAACAAATTGACGATCCGGTTCATAAAATTAATAAAAATGCATATAGTGTACACCAGAATACAGCCATGATTTTGAAACTGTGTAATCAATAAAGAAATGACAATATTGTAAAACCACTGTAATTCTGCAACTGTAATAGAATAATACCAATGCAGTTATGATTGTATTTGATGTAATGTAATTAACTGGAATGCATGCATGTAATACTTGCACAACAACTGATATTGACTATGGGCCAATCGAAATCTGAGTTACATTGAACTCACCAGAAGACCACTCCCAGAGGTGTGGACACTAACTTTCACACCTTTAAGCATTGTTATAAATACCTGTAGGAACCATTGTTCTCGAGTTCACTGGTGGAGGCGACAAATGGGCACTAGGGATGGTCAAAGGACTGACCTGGGGCCTGTTGGTTGCTGAGACCAGCGGCTCCTCAGCTGAGATGTTCTTTTTACCACAACACCATCTCTTTTATTAAATACATTTGATTTAACCTTTTGATCTGCAATGCCCTCTGTCCGTCCGGCGTTTCTTCATTTTTGAACACAACAATTCCCACAATTTCTACTAAAGTACAGTAACAAAGTATTTGTACTTCGTTACTTGACACCTCTGCACATAGGATAGTGCATTAACCGATGACCAGCCTTCTGCATTACTAATGAAGAATAAAGCCAATGAAAACAGAATTTAAATAAATAAGCTTCACCTATTTTTTCAGGGTCTTTGACAGAGATGGAGATCTCAAATTTGTCTTCCTGCTCTTCTTCATCCAACTGAAACACAGTGAACAGAGAGTGTAACACCACCTGATCTTCTTTTCCTTTAGACCTGGCATTTAGTGTATTTTTAACATAGAAAAAAAATGCAAATTACAGATATTATAGATTATATAAGATAAATATTATAGAAATCATCAATTGCAAAAATCCCCAAACTTTCAGTTTTTCACTCGTTACTTGGTTGCAGTCGATCTGGGAACGCCGCGCTTGGATTAGTTGGTGTGTACCTCTTCCAGGGAAGCAGACTGGGACTTGGCCAGGCTGGCAGCTGCTGACAAGGCGGAGGCGGACGCAGACGGTCTGGCCGACACGTCATTCCGTCTCTCGTCCCGCGGACTGTCCAGAGAAAGCTCCACGGTAGCTTCTGGAGGAAAAAGAAAACACAAGAAGCCAGACTGAGGTCATTACATGCCAACGGGAAATGTAAAGCGAGATTTGCATTATGTTCTTTGCATACTTGACGGGCCGGCACAAACAAATATGCAAATGCTTGCACAGACAGGGACAGTTTCATTTAATGGATACTATTAAATTACATGTGGTCTGGTGCTTGTCAACTGAAGTCACAAGTGTCTGGTTTATTGGGATTCTCCCATTAGTGTAAACTGAGGTCTGATTGCACCTGTCCCTAATAGTTAAATCGTCTAAAGTAATGCCATGAGTCTGCTGATGTTTGGTCTAAAGACTACTAGTTTGAAAATGAATGCTAGTTGCATTGACATCAAGTATTGCAAAGGAAAAATGGGCCTGATCAAAAATAAAATAAAATAAAAAAGCCGGATTTTTTTAACAGTCAGTCATGAATCCGAAGATGTATGTACACTGTGATGCTATATTATTTAAAGATTTTGACATGAAATTAGCCCTCAATTAGTGTTTCATCCTCCATCTGTCTCCATTCACTTCCTGTCGGCTTTCTGTGACCACTATCTCAGTAGAGATACATGAATCAACTGAAATTAGAGGATAAACAATTGAGTCTAAATGATGCAAACACTTACACAATAAGGACCAAAAAACAGTGGACCCACCGGCAAATATTTCCTTTTCCTCCTCAGAATGGACCCCGTTAGTCTTGGAGTTGACCGTGCTGGCGTTCTTGATGCCAGGCACTGCAGTGACGGCTTCCTGAGAGAAGAGATCAGCGGCCTCCTGTAGCGGGCCGCCTGTGTTGCTAACGTTACTGGCGGCTTTGGTTGCGTCTGGCTTTCCCCTCGGCTCCTTGCTGACGAGTTTCTTCGAGGCGGCCCAGAGCGACTCGCAGAACAGATCCTCGTCAGGTTCGTCAAGGAGGCTTTTCTGGGGCTGATGGGCAGATTTATGCTGACGAGGATCCGCGAAAAGGTCGCTTCCCTCGTCTTTGAACAGATCGACTGTGGCCCGGCTGGGGATTTTGGCATCAGAAGCGGCTGGCGAATCACTTAGAAGGTTCACCAGTGGGTCAATGAATCTGTCTCTAGCAGGTGGCGGCTGTTGTGAGTCACTGGCTGGCAAATCATCGCTGAGGTCAATAATTGAATCCGTGGACGTTTCTTTTACTTCCTGTTCCTCATCGTTGCTTCCTGTTTTCCTGTCTCCGGGTGGATCGGTGACATCATTGGCCGCTTCCCTCTTATGTGCTGCTGTTTCAATAGTAACGTCCGCCACCACTACTTTCCCTCGCGGGGCTTCAGCTTCAACTCCAAATATGTCAACAAAATCATCTGCGTGTTTGTCTAAAGGGATCTCAGTTGCGTCCGCGGCCGTGTCTCCGGGAGAATCAGTAATGTTGCTCGTAAGGTTGCCAAAGTCATCCGAGGGCTCGCTTGCATCTTCGGTCGTCGGTTTGTTTTCCGTTTGGCTGCTGAGGGGCTCGATTAAGGGATCATCCAAGATGTCACGGAGAGGCTTCATCGAAACGTCGCTGGGTTGACTGGCAGGTGATGGCGTGCTGCCATGTTCAGTCAGTGGAGAGTTAACCTGGAGATTTAGGGGGAAATGCCAGAAGGGTGGTACATAACATTCTGTTAATTGGTGTTTTATTTGGATAATATAATGATAGGCACAAATTTCAACATCCTTCAGCTGAATGAGATGTTGATTGTTTAAAGAAAACATTAGATAAACTTCTCCGCTTTAAGAATATTGTGAACAGGCAAAATAAATGAGATATTTCCTCATGCTGTGAGTGTTAAGAAGATAAAGATGTCCATAATCCTTCTTTTACATTACATTACATGTCATTTAGCTGACGCTTTTATCCAAAGCGACGTACAATAAGTGCATTTCAACCATAGGGTACAAAAAAGAAACAAGAAAGTGCATTTTCTTCAAATGAGCCAATTTACAATTTGCTATAGATGAGTGACGCTATGAGTACAATTTAAGTGCTACAATATGTTAGTCTTTAGTGGAGGTAGAGTCTGAAGAGGTGTGTCTTTAGTCTGAAGATGTGAAGGCTCTCTGCGGTCCTGGTGTCTTCAGAGAGCTCGTTCCACCATTTCGGAGCAGGACAGTAAAGAGTCGAGATCTAGTCGAGTGTTTTGCTCTCAGTGAGGGAGGGACGAGTAGTTTTGCAGATGCAGAGCGGAGAGTGCGGGTTGGGATGTTGGGTTTGACCATGTCCTGGATGTAAGCTGGACCCGATCCATTCACAGCACCAATGTTTAGAACTGGATGCGGGCGTGAGATGACAAGAGCCTGAATCAGTACCTGCGCTGCCTTCTGATTGAGAAGAGGACGTATTCTCCTGATGTTGTAGAGCGTGTATCTACAGGATCGTGTTGTCGCAGTGATGTTGGGAGTCAGGGAGAGTTGTGCTGTCGAGAGTCACGCCGAGGTTCCTAGCAGTCAAAGTGGGCGTTAACAAGGAGTTGCCAAAGTTGACCGTCAGGTCCTGGGTCGGAGAATCTTCTTCTTCTTCACCTGTTCCTGCAGCATTATCCAAACTTGTGGTTGTAAAACACAACTTCCCCAAACTCAACCTGCAGTTAAATTATGTTGTTTTATAGTGAGAAAAATGATGTGTGCCACCCCCACATTAGAAACAACTCAGTGGAGGTGAAATGTAAATAACCTTATGAAACAGAGTTAGAAATACACTGTCATTTTAAATGTATCTTATTAGGATCCTTGCAACGACTAGTCGTAGAGCAGGGGTGCCCAACCTTTTTTGAACCAAGATCTACTTTTAAAGTTGATAGTGTATCGAGATCTACCAAGCCATATCGAAAGCCGTAGCGTAGCCACAATTTATTGCGCACCTATATAGGACACTGTTTTCTGACACATAGATACAGTTTTAACAATCATAATAGATTTATTGAAGTAAATGTGAATTTGCAAAGAATAAGCACAAGTAGGCCCAGGACTGGCCCGTAACAACACGACAGACAAACAACCCAAATAATACAATGCCTAATTCTTTGAACTTTTATAAGAACTAATTAAAGTTGGAAAAGTGGCATTTCTCTACCTTTTCTGGCACTGAGAGGAGGACTATAGTCTCTCATAGTTCGGACAGTAAGAGCTGAGTGCCAGCCGTAAGCAGACTGCAAGGTGGTCATCAGTCATGGTGGATCTGTATTTTGACTTGATGATTTTCATATGTGAAAAGGCAGACTCACACAAATATGTTGATCCAAAAAGTGCAGTCAAATTCTCTGCAGTTTGTCTGAGGTTGGGGTACTTCTCTTTCTGCATTAGATTCCAGAATCGGACATTCATGTGTTGCTCTGGATTTGAGCTCAATGTCATTCTTCAGTGTGAGGATCTCATTCCCCACAGCACAGCTATCCAGGTTGAAGAGTAATGCCACTTTGGACGTTATACAATCCACATCTACATTTTCCCCAAATGGAAAACAGAGATGACAACAGGCTCAATGGATGCAAAGTCAGTGAAGCGCCTGTCAAATTCTGACAAGATGCTCTGCACTTGCTCATCATAACGTGCACTCTCAAGCTCCGCCCAGTCTTTGCCCACAGCCTGGGCTGCCAACTCTCACGCATTGGCCGTGAGACCCACGCATTTGATCGGTTTCACACGCTCTCACGCCACACCTCCGATTTCTCACGCCAAAAAAAAATGGGAGACTACCATTGAAAAAGAGGGGCGCCAGAACACAACAGTAATGTAAGGTTCCCTTTCCTGTCCATGGACACGTTTACAACGCGCTCGGTATCGCGCTGCACGGCTACGTCCGCGCGCTCCCATCAGCGGAGCAGAAAGCGCGTCGTCGGTGTTCGTCTGATCCCCCCCGGCCGGTCTCACGCCAAGGTTTTTGTAAAAGTCGGCAGCTCTGTTTCCCTGTTTCTAAATTAATCTATTAAAATCAAATTGATGTCTCGAGTTCCATTATGGAGAGTCGCTACAGTAGCGCGTTAGGCTGCGCTGGTAGGCGCATTGCATTATGGGACAATCTTTGGATCCATTTAAATCCCTATCTGTTAAGTTCATGTTCTAGTGTTTAAGTTTATATGTGTTTTTATAGGTTCTGTTGTGTTGTGCTGAAATGTTACTGTTTAATGTGTAAGAGTGTTGGCACCATGACCCAACTTCGTATGGCTGTGGGTCAAGTTCTGTGTCTAACAGCCCTTCAATGAGTCCTGGGGTTAAAATTGACTGCAACTCAGCCTGCGATCAACTGGCAGACCGTGATTGACTGGTTGGGCACAACTGTAGTAGAGGAACCTATTGTATTTCAAGGAATTCTTCTTCTTCTTTTCCCTAAGGAAATTGCCCTTTTCAGGCCTTTATCATATTCAAAAAGTTGTTAAATTTGGCACGCTTATCAGAACTGGTGAAAAATTTGATATTTTGGGAGTTTTGAATTTGGGTACGAAGAAATGTCTCCATAGCGCCCCCTAGAAAGGTAAAAAAGTACCCCACTAGGCCAGTTCCCCCCCCCCCCCACTGTGGGCCATTTTGAATTTTGTGAAAAACACGTTTTTGGCCATTTCTCCTAAACGCTATGTCCGATTGTCACAATTTATCGTGCTGATATCTTCTTGTTTTGAGAAGATATGGGCTAATGAACTTTGTAAGGGGTGTGGCTTAATCTTGCAAGAGTCATAACTTCCAAATAATTTGGCCTGCCCTCACCAAACTTGTAACACATGTGAACATTGAACCCCTGAACACAACCTGATTTTTTGAGAATATTTGAAAGGGGGATGAATAGGGGGTGCTGCAATTAATCATTGAAAATCTGCCCTTTTGGCCTATTTTCAGGATTTCTCAGAGTTGCAAAAGACCGAACTCCTCCCAGGGATTAAACCCACTTCTTTTCAAATTCGCGCAGTGTGATTTTGAGGACCTAGGCTCTAAGAATTGCATTTTGCCGGAAGAAATTCCAAACTATGTGTGTAGGGAGCATTTTTGAAAAACCACCATTCGGCATGAAAATTGAAATTGTTTTAACTTGACCATACTTTATCTAATCTGCTCTCATATAGCATGAACCTCTCACCCTGTACACGTCCATAAGATCATTTTTAACCTTAGTCATAGCTCCACCTGGGGAAGACAGGAAGTTGAATGTTTTTTTTATTTAACACCCTGCTCCTCACAGGTTATGCTCCTCAAAGGTTAATCTGAACGCTTTCAAAATTTCTTAACAGAGAGTTAAGACCTTTATAATGCTTCACTGTGAATATTATAAGAATGTGATAATCGGTGGCCAGAGACTGCATATCTGTTGATCCTTCGCCAAGAACAACTAAACCGTTGTAACTCTACTCCACATCATCGGATTGTTTCCAATTTACACATGTTTGATGAGACTCAAGAAGTCATAGCGCCACCTACTGGTAAGAAGACGTCAAATTTTCTAGTGTCCAATTACAAACGAAAGTGTCATTTTGAGAGGCTTTAATTTCTAAAAATCAGAATGTCCTGGTTTTCACCGAGTGAGACCTTGGGGAGGTGTACTCTCTGCTTGAATTTAAATTATCGTGCAACTAATGATTGTTACCTTTGTTATTTAATCTTAAATTGGGTCTTGTCATTGAGATTTGGGCTCATGTATGGTATTTTGAGAGGCTTTCATTTTGGAATAGTATTCGTCTGAAGTGAAATGATTGTGTAACTATTGATTGTTTCCTTTTAATTCTAACCTGAAATTGACCAAAAGTAGTTTCCTGATGGAGAATTTGACGGAAATTGGCTCATGTATGGTGTTTTGAGATGCTTTCATTTTGGAATAGTACATCAGAATGTCCTGGTTAACACCGAGTGACACCTTGGGGATGTGTACTTTCTGCCTGAAGTGGAAATACTGTGTAACTATTGATTTTTTCCTTTTAAATCTAATCTGAGATTGACCAGATGTAGTCATGTGATTGATATTTTGGCTTATGTATGGTATTTTGAGAGGCTTTTATTTTGGAATAGTAAATCAGAATATCTTGCTTATCCCTGAGTCTGAAATTGATTATAAGGCTGGTGAATGAGATTTAAGAGTAGGTTTGGTGATCTATGACATTTTGAGTCACTCCATACGGTTAACGACGACTGACTCTTGGACACTTTGTCCGACGGCTGCAGGAGTTCTTGGCTGCTTATCTAGCCTTCCGGCCGGTGCTCCTAAGTTGAGGGGGAAATGATGTCGCGCTATTTTGCTATGTACTTAGAAATATAACTGTTCACATCAGCAACCTTTACCGTGGGTAACATAACAACAGTTTTCAGCTGTGGTGCGTCATTATTTTAGAGGTTAAAAGTATACGCTTGGTCATTGTTTAATTTTGCGCCATTTGTATTCGCTACATCCGGTCGTTCTGACGCATCCCTTTATGCGGTCAACTCAGCCGACACTTGAATTTTAGTGCACGTATATGCTGACATTTACGGTATTGAACAAGTAACCCGAAAAAAGGCTATTTAAATAGTAAATTCCGGACAATAATAGGTCTTGCCTTGGAACTATTGCTGAATGTCTTTTTATGGCAGTTCAAACTTTGAGAAATGGTGTTTTTGAG